GCCGCTTAGTCTGCCAGCCACCCCGGCAAGCATCACCAGGGTGATGTAGAACATTCACAGGAACACGCCGTATCTACACTCTACTCACAACTGGTTCTCCTCCCCACTCCGGAGGAAAAACAACGCCAGGCCCACGTGTCTGCCTTCTTTTCTGGCAGAAAGTGCTGACCATAGTTGCTTGCCACGCCGTGGAAGTTGGGGGGGATGTTTTCGAAGGCAAGCGGCGGGGCTGACCTTTCTCTCACTGTGTGTTTTGTAGTACAAAATCGGACAGCTGTACATGATCAGCAAGCACAGCCACGAACAGAGCGACCGAGGAGAAGGGGTGGAGGTGGTCCAGAATGAGCCCTTTGAGGATCCTCACCATGGCAACGGGCAGTTCACCGAGAAGCGGGTGTATCTCAACAGGTAAGTCACGGCAGCCGGCCATCCACCTGCAGGCTCTCCCACGCCACCCCACGGCCGAGCTGGAGGCGGTGTGTGGGATAAAAAGGTGACCTGAAAAGTCACTACATTTGCCCGCTCCATCCACCAGTCTCGTAGCTTCCCCAAAACAGAGTCCCCTGCCTTCGGCAAGAGAGTCCCCAACTGCATTTTCATGAGGAGGGGCTTTCCTCTTCCATTTCCCACCCGCTGGATGACATGTTCAGATGAAATTTGGTCTAAAGGGTTACAGAGCTTTGTCTCCTACCCCTGGTTCGGTGTTAGCAGCGGGAAAGAGATGGCTTTGCCTGAGGGTTGTAGAGACGTGCCGAAGATCGCAGTGTGCCATTGGGGTCTTGATTTGGTAAGCGTTCTCGTTCCTGCCAGGTGACCACTCGGGTGTTCACAAAGGGAACTGACAATGAACGCTTGTCGTTGCTTCTTTGGAAGGGTAAACAAGCAAGGATGATAACCCAGCACTCGTCGGGACAGCCGTTTCTGCTTTGCAAAGCGTATTCTTTAATCTCTTGGTGTTTTCTTACCATTAATGGCATAGTTGATTATCGGGGCTTGTCTGATCTTCTCCCCACCCAATACCCATTTCCAGCCCGTTTTCTTCCATTTTTTCTCTTCCAGGTCAGGACATGTGTATACTCACTGGAAATATATTTTATTGGAATTAACTGTCTGCTCCAGTGAACCAGTGGATGACTGGTTTGGTCTTTGCTACCGTTTCTGTGCATACTCTTTACCCCCACCTACGGCTCCTCCTGTTGGCCCCGATGTGATTATTCAGAAAGCATTTCCAACATAATAACTGGACAGCGCCCCAGTTTATTCCCTGATACTCGTGAATATTTATCCATTCTTTGTGCCTTGACCATGAGCCATTTCTGAGAGGAGCCACACTGGGACTCTGCCATGCCCACATGGCCTCCACCTTCCAGCAAGCTCAAGTGTACTATTCCTTCTCGATGGGTGCATTTGGGTCCTGTCACTACGGTGTGTGGAAATCTCTCAGGCCGATATCCTGACAGTGAAGGCCATGGGCTGATTAAACTGACATGTTTTAATCTACCCAGGGATGCAGTATCAGGGAATTCCTGAGTCCCGATGAAATGCAAATGAGATCGATCTTATTCATCTATTAGGAGCTGTGAATTCGCAGGATTTGGAACCCGTTCAGCCTCCAGCCAGCTGCCGATTCGCAAGAGTAGCTGAGCTCTGGGACTGGTCTGGGGATGACTTCCTTACAGAGACTGGTTTCTCAACGTGCTGCTTTGGCATTCTTAGTGTGGAGGGTGAAAATCAAATACTGAGCAGGAATCACCTGTGTAGAGCGAAGAGGAGTGAGCATGATGTGAGAAAATAGATACAGACCTATGGAAAATTCCATTCCTTGGCAGACAATTGCCTTTTCCTAAATTATTGCTTAGGAAATGTTCCCTACATACCAAATTAAAAAAAAGAATTGGAAAACTTCATACTGGGGTGTCTGTGTTGGCTCAGCAGGTTGAGCATCCAACTCTTTTTTTCCTTTTTTGATTTTCTTTTTTTTTTTAATTTACATCCAAATTACTTAGCATATAGCACAACAATGATTTCAGGAGTAGATTCCTTAATACCCCTTACCCATTTAGCCCATCCCCCCCCCCACAACCCCTCCAGTAACCCTCTGTTTGTTCTCCATATTTAAGAGTCTCTTATGCTTTGTCCTCCTCCTTGTTTTTATATTATTTTTGTTTCCCCTCCCTTATGTTCATCTGTTTTGTCTCTTAAATTCCTCATAGGAGTGAAGTCATATGATATTTGTCTTTCTCTGACTGATTAATTTCACTTAGCGTAATATCCTCCAGTTCCATCCACGTAGTTGCAAATGGCAAGATTTCATTCTTTTTGATCGCCGAGTAACACTCCATTGTATATGTACACCTCATCTTCTTTATCCATCCATCCATCGATGGACATTTGGGCTCTTTCCATACTTTGGCTATTGTCGATAGTGCTGCTGTAAACATGGGGGTGCATGTGTCCCTTTGAAACAGCACACCTATATCCCTTGGATAAAGACCTAGTAGTGCAGTTGCTGGGTCATAGGGTCGTTCTATTTTTAGTTTTTTGAGGAACCTCCATACTGTTTTCCAGAGTGGCTGCACCAGTTTGCATTCCCACCAGCAGTGCAAGAGAGATCCTCTTTCCCCGCATCCTCGCCAACATCTGTTGTTGCACAAGTTGTTAATGTTAGCCATTCTGACAGGTGTGAGGTGGTATCTCAGTGTGGCTTTGATTTGTATCTCCCTGATGATGAATGATGTTGAGCATTTTTTCATGGGGCGGTTGGCCATCTGGATGTCTTCTTTGGAGAAGTGTCTATGCATGTCTTTTGCTCATTTCTTCACTGGATTATTTGTTTTTTGGGTGTTGAGTTTGGTAAGTTCTTTACAGATTTTGGATACTAACTCTTTATCTGGTATGTCGTTTGCAAATGTCTTCTCCCATTCTGTCTTTTAGTTTTGCAGATTGTTTCCTTTGCTGTGCAGAAGCTTTTTATTTTAATGAGGTCCCAGTAGTTCATTTTTGCTTTGTTTCCCTTGCCTCCAGAGCCGCGTTGAGTAAGAAGTTGCTGCGGCCAAGATCAAAGAGGTTTTTGCCTGCTTTCTCCTCAAGGATTCTGATGGCTTCCTGTCTTACATTTAGGTCTTTCATCCATTTTGAGTTTATTTTTGTGTCTGGTGTAAGAAAGTGGTCCAGGTTCATTCTTCTGCATGTCGCTGTCCAGTTTTCCCAGCACCACTTGCTGAAGAGACTGTCTTTATTCCATTGGATAGTCTTTCCTGTTTTGTCAGAGATCAGTTGGCCATACGTTTGTGGGTCCATTTCTGGGTTCTCTATTCTGTTCCATTGATCTGAGTGTCTGT